GCCTGGGGCGGGAGGTGTTAGGAGTGCTACGCCTCACCCCCTGGTGTCTTCTAGTCGTGCCAGCCATCGAGAAGCTGCTGTCCAGTGACTGGAAGGAGAGGTTTCTGGGAAGGAGCTCTGTGGAAGCCAAAGATGTGAAAGGTGAAGGCCCGGGTGGGCAGGTGGGGGAGGAGGTCTGACCCCCTTTCCCTTCTCCCAGCCTGGCAGTGCGGTCTGGGCCGGTAGGGTGGTTTTGGAAGCTCTTGGTCCCCTCCTACCTGCCCTGTGCCCCTCGGGCTCCTGCCCGGCCCCGGGGTCCAGCACCTTCCGTCACCTGGGGACTGAGCATTTGGTCTGGCTCATTCCCGTGCAAGAGAGGCCTGGTGGGAATCCCATTCTGTGAGTATGGATCTGGGCTCTTCCCGGGGACCCTTGTGACCTCAGGCACGTCCCTGCCAATTCCCAGGTCTAACTATATAGAATGAGCTGGATGTTCCCTTTTACTGCCGAAAATTGATTCTAGGCCACCGGGACTTTGCTGTATGAATTCAAGGGCGCCTGTTTGGTTTGTGAGCGTAGCTGTTTTTCCGGTGTGGTCGCTCTCTCCTGACAGGGGAGAGCCTTTCAAACCAAACCAGTGCCCGGGCTCCACCCCACCTGCTGAGTGAGAACCCCAGGGGCTGCAGGCCTGGGCGTGTGTATTTTTCAAAGGCTCCCTGAGTGATTCCGAGGCGAATGGTCTGCAGCCTGGCACAGCTGTGCCCGACACGAGCTGAGGTGGAGAGCAGGGGAGCACTGGCACTCGAGGGTGGATGGCCACCTGCCAGATTCTGGACTCTGCTTTACGTTCATTATCTTCTTAACCCTGGTAGCACCCCTGGGAAGTGGCCATTCTTGTGCTCATTTGTAGATTGAAAAAACAACAACAACAACGAAGTGCAGAGAAGTTGGTTATTTGTCCAGCAACTCCCAGACAGGATAGATTGAAATAAGGATTTGGGGGTGCCTGGGTGGCTCGGTCGGTTGAGCGTCCGACTTCGGCTCAGGTCATGATCTCACAGTTTGTGGGTTCAAGCTCCGCGTCAGGCTCTGTGCTGACAGCTCAGAGCCTGGAGCCTGCTTCTGATTCTGTGTCTCTTCTCTCTCTGCCCCTAACCCACTCGCATTCTGTCTCTGTCTCTCTCGAAAATAAACATTAAAAAAAAAAAATTTGAACCCAGATCTGTCTTGCTCCAAGGCCTGAGCATGTCCCACTGGGCCCCTCCTGTGGGCTAGTTCTCCACGCCGACGCTGTGCCCCTGGGCACTTGAGGACATCCAAGAAGTGATCCGGGACAGAGATCCCTCCATACCCGCCCCCCCACCTCACCCTGCCACCCCACCAGCGTTTCCAGGGGCTGGAGGCAGCGGTGGATGGTGGGGAACTTCTAGGGTAGCTGCTTGTCAGACAGCAAGCCAGCCGCCCCTCTGGGGCAAGGATCAGTCTCCATCATCTGTCGCTCAGCCCCTAACAGGGGCCTGGGAAATAGCAATTGCCCAATAAGTGTCAGATGGGTGCATAGGTGGACAGATGGACAGACGGACATTCTCACTGGTGGCCGTTTCACTGTGGCGCAGGGACCCAGGAGAGCCTGGCAGAGAAAGAGCTCCAGCTCCTGGTCATGATCCACCAGCTGTCTACCCTGAGGGACCAGCTCCTGACGGCCCATTCAGAGCAGAAGAACATGGCTGCCATGCTGTTCGAGAAGCAGCAGCAGCAGATGGAGCTGGCCCGGCAGCAGCAGGAGCAGGTGCGCCCGGCTTAGTGTCTTTCTTGCTAGGGGAGGGGGTCTGTCAAGGCCTAGAGGGGAACATGCTAGGGGCAGGTCGTGGAGGGGCCGGCGGCCAGGGCCGTAGTAGTCCCGCTTCCGGCGGTTCATAAGCCTCGGTGGGGGCCTGGGAGTGGAAGGGGCCCGCGGGGCCCTGAGTCTGAGCGGCTGGCTACTTCCTGCCCAACCTCCACCCTTGGGCTCTGGGGGAAGAGAACCTGCTCCTAAGGTAGACTGTCCTGCTGCCTGCCCCGCCCAGTGTGCGGTTTGTCCTGGTGTGGACGTCATGGAAGGCCGGGCGCGGCCGGCTCCGGGACAGGGCTGATGTCCCTAATGTCTGTGCCCGCTGCTCTTTCCTGCCACCAGATCGCCAAGCAGCAGCAGCAGCTGATTCAGCAACAACATAAGATCAACCTCCTCCAGCAACAGATCCAGGTAAAAAGGGGGGGAGGGCCAGAGGCTGAGGGGGTGACAACAGCCTGGAGATGCCTGCCAGGGACAGGGAGTGATGGCGGGGGGGAAGAGGGGGGGATTAAGCAGAATCAGACGTGGCCCTAAGGAGGGGGCTCCTTTCTGCTCGAGCCTGGAACCCCAGTTGTCTTCTCCTACTTTAAGGGAGGGGCCAGAGTATCTCCTTCCCTATCTGGGGTGGAGGGCAGGTGGAAGGAGGTGATGTGGGGTCAAATGGAGCCTTTTGAAGACTCGCCCTGCACCGGTCGCTGTACCTCTCGCGTCTGGGTTCATCCTCTGTGTTCTGGGCTGAGCTGTTTGGGCCCCCAGGGACTCACACAGGGTTTCTTTGCCCTCAGCAGGTCAACATGCCTTACGTCATGATCCCGGCCTTCCCCCCAAGTCACCAACCTCTACCTGTCACCCCCGATTCCCAGCTGGCCTTGCCCATACAGCCCATCCCCTGCAAACCAGGTGAGTGAAGGCGGGGGTTGAGCCATTAGCTGAGGCTGTCTTGAGGTCAGGGAAGGAGCTCAGGACCACTCTTGTGCGTTACTTTGCAACGTGGCCTTTCTGGGCCAGTGGAAGCTGAATCCCTTCTTCCTGAACCTCGCTGGGCGAATCGAAAAAGAAATTGCACTCGAAAATGATGAAGCGCTTTCCAGATATAAGCGGATGTAGCCCATCTAGTCCCCAGCTCTGGTGCGTTTCCTGGACCGGGGTATTAATCTCTTGAACACGATTTCCCGCCACTGAAATCCAGCGAACACAGACTGGGCACCAGCCACACGTCCGATGCCCTGTCGTTGACAGGTGGCTATGGGGGTGCTAAGAATGGAGTTGGAGCTCAAGGAGTTTTTACAGTCTGGGGAGGGAGAAAGGATATCGGTAAGCAGGGAGTCTGGGAAGGCTTTCTGTAGAGGAGGTGCCCGATTGGGTCCCTGGAGGTGGACTGGGGGGGTGAAGCCGGGACCTGAGCCCTGGAGCCTGAGGTCAGCAGCTACAGCTGCGGGGGTTGGAGTGGAGGGGAGCGTGTGACAGGGTGATGGGACAGGCTGGCAGGAGCAGTTGGGGCCGAGCCTGGCGTTTGGAATTTATTTTGTAGAATGCAGACGTGCTTGAGCGCTTGGGCTGAGGTGTCTTGTCACGCTGACTGGGGGCGACAGGGAGTTGGAGCCTGGGCCGGCAGGGGGCCGCTGAGGTGGTGGGACAGAGGCAGAGATGGAATCCGTTGACCATGATCACGGACACCTTGTTGAAAGGTCACAGGACAGGGCGGGGAGGTTGCCCGCAGTTGCCCCAGGAGTGGGGACAGCTTTGAGGCCGAGCCCATCCGGTCTACCCTCCCTGTTCCGTGTGCGAGAGGAGGCAGGTGAATTCCTGTCATGGGCCACAGGTCATGGGTCAGCACCACTGGCTCTGCTCCCACCTTGCTCTCTACTAGACACTCTAGGGTGGGG